ACCCCACCCCTCTCCCCTCTCCCCTCTCTCCCTCTCCCCTCTCACCTCTCCCCTCTCCGCCCTCCCCTCATATTCCTCTCTCTGGCCTGCCAATGCCAGTGTCTATTGGCAAAGCCAAGGTCTCAACGAAGGCAACCTATCGAATGCCCAGCCTTGCAGCACCACCACTGCAAGTTTGCTCATTATGCATAGCTGTAAGATCGAACGCTGTAAGAGAGCTTAAGACAGCCCTAAGATCAAACGAACTAAGATCGAACGCTCTCTAAGTCGGCTAAAATTTGCAGCGTTCAGCAAAGTCGCACAGTTCCTCTCCTGCTCAAGCTCAGCTGAGATCAAAGCGCATATCTTCTTCTTCTTTTTTTTTTTTTTTTTTTTTTTTTTTTTTTTGTTGTTGTTGTTGTTGTTGTTGTTGGGTGTTCCTGCCAGCATTGATTACCCTGGGACCCAGGGGATTGACTGAACAGGATATTGGGCCGGGGGGGAGGAACCTCTTCACCCTGAACCAGGCGCCAGCTACCTGCTGCTACACACTAGTCCCTCCCTCCTCCCTTTTTTTGCCACAACCAACATTCATTTGACAACAATAGTCCATCCTCTCTTGCCCCTCCAGCATCCCATTGTACACTCAACTGCCAGCATTGATTGCCCTGTACCCCGGGGAATGACTGTGCAGGTTTGGTGGTAAGTCTGTTGGCAAAATAAGAGCTCTCTTCAGTCTGTGCCTGACTGCCAGATCACTCTTTCTACCCTAACAGCTAGTTCCTGTTCCTCTGAATACCAGTCTGCTCTATAACTGTCCTGCATTGCCCATTCAATCCGCTCCATACCATTGCATGTCCACCATTACCAGCTGGTGAGGCGGGAAGGGGTCGGGAAAATCTGTTGCAGGTCGCCGCGGGATTTCCTGGCCCACTGTAGTCCAATCCTTGAAGCAGATCTCTCCTGAGTTCCTCCTGGTCGCACACTTGGGCGGGCTTTCCATCCCATCTAACACCTGCCATCCAGCCCCCCTTCTCATTGCCCAACCATTCCCCAGAGAATTGATGAATTGCTCGTGTTATATCCTGAGCTGAGTGAAACAAGTCAAGTCGGTCTTTAACTTTCTGCCACTGTACCGTGAGTACTTGCTGAATGTATTGCTTTATCATCTCTGTTACCTCTTCCCCATCTTTGCGGGCACCCTCAATGGTATGTGTACAACGTTTTCTCCAGAGGGCCCACATCACCGCCCTTCTTTCTAACTTGAACATGTTGTTTTCAAAAGTATTGTTGGTGGGGAAGGACCATGCTACATAATATGGCCCTCCAATCCCATGGCCAGTTAGACACCGTGGCCAGTAGGGTCCAAATCCTGTCCCACCATCGCCACATGAGAACTGCCCCTGGACACTGCATAAATATGTGTTCTATAGTTTCCGCCATTCTGCGGGAAGGGAACGCAGTGTGGCATGATTTACACCACGGTAATGCCTGCCCCTTCTGCTCCAGCTGTGTACGCTCTATCAGCCAATTGTTCGTGGGCAGACAGCGATGTTCAATCTGCCACTGCAGCGAGGCCATCTTCGCTGGCCTAGACCTTGTGGCGGTGAACCATCGGATGGGGCGGAGTGCCTCTATTCCTACATTCAGGTGAGACCTCCACCTAGCCTTCACCGTTTCTTTTATGTTCACTTTTGGTCGTACCAGACAGTATGTGGCCTTCACTGTTAGAGTGTACAATGTTCAGTTTTCCCCCATCCAAGACTGGGATTAGACGGTTAGCCAAGGCTTTCGCAAGCATTTTATAAACGACTGTAAGCAAGGTTATCGGACGATAATTCCTGATGTTCATCTTATCCCTTTTTTTGTGTAACAAAGTCAGAACTCATTGCCCTACCAACTCCCTCATCCGTCCTGTTTCCTACACCTGATGATAGAAACTCATAAGGTCCGGGGCCATCAAGGCCCAGAAGGACTCCCAAAATTCCTTAGGAAACCCATCTATATCCGGCCTCTTCTCCTCGTCCATCTGCATCATTGTCGTCCAGATTTCCTCCTTGGACAGGGGGAGAAGTAGATCTGCTCTCTGCTGGCTCGTCAGGGTCTTTCCCAAGGGTTTCAGAAAGTCCTCTATTTCCTTCTCCCGCCGAGCTCACCTTGACGTGAATAGATCTTTGAAAAAGGATCTGGCTATCTGTGTGCAGTGGGGGGAGGAGGTGATAATATCCCGGTGTCGAGATTGCGGGTCGTATAGTGTTTCTATGGTTGTTCTGCATGAACGGACTCGGGCTATACTAAATATTTTTTTATCGATTGTTCCTTCTGTTTGGAATTTCGTAAGTCTTCCTCTTATGCGTGTACTCTCCCACCTTTGTGTGGCGAAGGACTGGAGTTGTTGTTGGAGTCT